TTTATTTTATTCTTCAATTGATGTCATTTATACCATATTATCCACAACTATTAAAGAATTGTTAATTAGAGATAAACAAATTTTATTTAAAATAAACTAAGTGTAATTGTCCAAAATTAAAAAAAAAAAAAAAAAAAAAAAAAGTAAAAAGGAAGTCGGTAGGTACCTTATGGTCCTCATCCTCATGTGATGAAGTTGACCGATCAAAAATACAAATCTCAAACCAATAAAAATTTCTGGCATTTACAGATGAATTAAAACCCTTAATAGTCTCCTAAAGTAAAACTACAGATCATTTAATATACGGAAAGTATTATATTATTGGAAAATGATATGTGCACACATGGATCCAACACCCGGGTGTGCACACCCCCATAAAAAAAAAAAAAAATTGGATCCGGGTGCATACCATTTATTTTTTTTTTTTGTATGTGGGGGGTGCACAACCGAGTATTGGATTCAGGTGTGCACCAATCATGATCCTATACTATTATATATCATTTTTACTTTTATGAGAAAACAAAAATGAGAGAAAGTGATCTGAAATAACACTAAAGGGTCTGTATCAGTAAAAACTAGAAAGGTGAGACTAATTGGTAAGGAGTGTCAAATTTAGGGGCGGAGCTAGAAAAGTAAGAGAGGGGGCTGAATTCTTTTTGTTGACGACTTCTCTTGTGTATTTTTTAAAATAACACTAAATATTTTTTTTTAGAAAAATTTTAATTTTGATTGTCTTCTCATTGATATTTTTTAAAAATCTTAACAAAATTAAGAAATGAATATATTTTCTTTATTCCATATTTCTAGTATTCACTATGATAATACCTAAACAATAGATTAGCCAATTCAAATAATAAAATTAAGAAATGAATATATTTTTCTTTATTCCATAATTCTAGTAATTTTTTATTAAATGAATAATTTATTAAAATAAGAAATAATGTTTCACTATGATAATACCTAAACAATAGATTAGCTAATTCAAGTAATTTCAAAATCTTATTCTTTCCATCTCAAAATGTCTATCTTTTTTCTTTTTGATTTGTCCATTAAGAGGTATCTTTTTCCATCCTAAAGAACTAAACAGTATGAAAGAGAGAACATACCATTTAGTACTTAAAAACTAAAATTATTAATTGAATAAAGCTCAAACCTTTCAATCAACAACAGTTTTCATTAATCAAATCATTTTCTAAAATAAATGAAAAAAAAATAAAAAATAAAATCCTAAAAAAATTCAAAAACATTAAGGGAGAAGATCTTTGAGTTTGGTTTTAATTACCAGTCTAGATTCCTAATTTATTCAATATACAAGAAATTCATTTACTTATATTATAATATTCTCATCTTTTTTCAAAATATTAATCAAGACCTAATGTTCTCGTCATATTTTGAAATGATGGTTATAATAAAATATTATAAATTGTATTAGTCTTGAGTTGCTAAGTATGAAAAACTATAAAAATTATAAAAACTATAAAGAGTTAAATAAGAATAATTTAAAGTTTTACATAATAAATTTAATATAAAATTTTAAGAGGTAAAAACAAAATAATAATAATAATAATTGATACATCTTCTACTTCATTATACCCATCAAAACCTACCCATTCAATTATTAAAATTTGTAGTTGAAAATTTCTCCCCTTAACCCTCTAATTTAACATATCTGTCAATATTTATCAATTTAAATATTAAAATTTTTAACTGAAAATTTCTCCCCTTAAATTTAAATTCAAAAAAATAATTTTTTAATAAATATATTAAATCAAAATATATACTAATTATTGTCTAAAAAATAATATATGTATTAAATTTGTAAATTTACAAAAGTTGAGGAGGGCGGCAGCCGCCCTCCCTCCCTCGCACCCCTCCCCTGGTCATATTGGGAGTTAGTTTTGAACTTTAGCTTTTAAGACGAACATTTAAGTAAATTATTTTTTTTAATTGAGTTTTTTTACTTTAAAAATATATTTTAAAATCATATAAAAAGATGTTAGTCAAGTAATTTATTAAAACAAGTTCAAAGACACTTTAACTATACAAGTCAAAAATAAAAAATAAAAAAGTGAATAAATCCGCAATAGTTTGGTTGGGATACCCTAACAGTGTATGGACGAAGACCAAAACTAAACCATCAAGGAAAATTAATGCTGTCTAATTAAGGACGTGGCATTTCCTTTTGAGTTGCTTGCTTTTCTTGTCCAGCCGCCCAGGCGTACGTGGAAGCAGCCATTCGTGATTTTTGAATAATTTTTTTTATTCTTTCTTATTAGGAGTACGTGTTAATTATCCGTTCTGATTGGGGTTACGTATTATTAGAAAAAAAAAAAACAAAAACACTTCAGCTACAAAAAGAACCAGAACTTTTCGTTTATTTGAAAAACATACTAGAAGTTGTACAGAAAAAAACACACTATAAGAAACCAAGAAAGGGAGGAAATTTTCATCAAAGACTGCCTAGTCCTATAAACTATTTAGAAAAGTTATTTTAAAATGGCACATGGAAATATTGTACATCAGTCCGAACACTTAAAACATGTGGAGTCTCTCATTAGCAAAACCATTACCGATTGATTAATATTTTTAACAGCTAGCTGATCATCGATTTTATATAGTTTGTTCGGTTTGAACAAAAGGAAAGGAAAGGGATAAAAATTT